TGAAAAGGAGTCCTAGCACGTGGAATTCTACTCCCGCAACCTTCTTCTTTCGTGCTTTCGTAATTGATGCGTTATGGAGTGCATGCATTTAATTAATATGTGCACCGATTAATGCGTTTGGTCGTTTTCGTGTAAACAGAATTACCATTGTGCAATCAAGAAAGAATTCTTATTATTGTAAGCTTATTTAATGCCTGAATGTCCAAATTTGTACGACGTTCAATCCCCTGTTCAAGTAGCGAGATCATCGACTCGTCACGGTATAAAGATCGGACGGAATCGTTCCAAGTGTCAGACCAATTTCCCCTTTCGGCGAAACTGAAACGGTTTCAACGACTCCGTCGATACTTTTCCCTCGTCCCCGTCCCTCTGCCCCTGCGGCTCTTAATTGCCATAGCGTCGGGTAAAGATAATTGGCATTTGGCAGCGAGTGATCCGCGATACGAGGCCGCCGGTAGCTACTTCTCGGAAAGAATCCCTCTGTTTGTACGTTTTTCGTCTTGAATTTGCGCCGACGTCGTCGTCTCGTTTCGTCCAACGGCGATCGCAGATACGCGAAGAGACGCCGTCTGAAAGACGACCATGCCTTTCTTTTCTTCGTTGCCAAAGAACCGTCTCCTTCTTATCCTTCGCCTTTCCACCAAGGCCTCGATCATTTCCTTCCTGCCCACAGCGTTTGTATCGCTCGAACGCAATAAGCCTTTCTCGCGCGAGATAAGAGCGTCGCGGCGCGAGCCTTCGTCGCGGCGTTTTAATTAGCGTTGACGATGGAATTTTCTCCTCTGGACGTTCTCGCTGCATTTTTCCATTTCTACTCCGACTAACTTCGAAACAAGTTGAGCGGTAAATTTAACAGAATCTTGTATACACGTGTGCTAACAAACGTGCCAAATTTCAAAAGCTCACGTCCGTCGCTTTAACTGCAAAAACTTTTCAAGCCAACAAAAATAAATGATTAACCCTCGTAAGGGTTAATAACTGCGAAACTCCGTATCACCGCGCGCCTAAAAATAGCGTCGAGGAACGAGAAGAAACCGAAGGTACGAGGGGAGCCATGTCAAAATCGATTAAAAGTTTCTTGGTGTCGATCTGCCTATCCCGTTCCGATAGTTTATCGATATCTGTCGCGTAATTACCATGGTAACGGGACGATAAACCGCTACTCGTGTTTGACTTGCTATTCACCGTCGAGGCATTGAGGTTGCTGGGGTCTCGGGTCTCGGGTCCTCGTCGTCTATGGGTATGCATCCTCGGTGAAATTCACACGTGCCCATCTCCGCGGTGTGTACTATTTGATTAGATTTCACGCGCGTAACGTGCCTACGTCCATTTCCCTCGACCTCACGATCGAACGACGAACTCGATGGTAAACAGGAGGGCTCGAGCGTTCTCCACTTTTTTCCTGTTTTTCCTTTTTTTTGGTTAACACGAAGGGTTAGGTGTGCTATGCCAGCCATTAAATCGAATTAATAACGGGGAACTGTACAATAACGTAACAATATATATATATATAATCGCGAGCGTTTCGACGAACCAGTTAGAGAAACTTTTAAATGTGCTAATTGCTACGCTAATTAGGGACGCGATTACGTAACGGTGATAAGTAGTCGGATGGCTTCGCGTTATCTGTCGTGCATTTAGGAGGATGAGATCAACGATGAGTCGATTTAAATGCGACTGATTGGGAACGTTTATCGTTAAATAATATTAATTATATACGCTTCTTTTTGGAGCTTCTTATTAAAATACAAACGTGAGATCGAATTAGGGAATCGCGAGTTTATTCTCGGACAACGAAACGAAAGGAAGCGGATGCTTTCTCGTTTCGAGATTAGGGTGAATGTATCCCGATGCCTCACGTGGCTCGCGTCGAGATTCCAATGAATGGATAGCAAAGAAAATGTAACGCATAGCCGACCGATAATATTACAATCAGGACAGCTGTAAGGGGGTTTACAACTCTTTGTGCCCCGTGGCGCGAGGCACCTACATACTGAATGCCCGAACTGTCGAAATTTATCGATCCTATCTGCTCCCCCCACGGCCAAATATTGACATCGTACACAGAAATCTAGGAGGACAACAACACGTCAACGTACTCCGATTTCCGAACGTTTCTAGACCCCTAAACGAAGGAAATAAAAGAGGACCTCTGCCCGCTTTAACCAGAATTTCAATTTCAATTTTCCCAAGTAATTTAATTAGTGTATTGTAACACCATTTTCGTAAGGTTTCGAGAGGTGACACTGAAAAAGGGACCTCGAAGAAGAAAAAATAAAGTTACGTACATTTTGAAATGGCTAATTTTTGGTATAGCCCTCCTACCAATAGGAACATTTCGGATACACCAGTTTCCTTAAAGAAGTATACTCAGGCTCCGAACTGTCAGGGTTCCTTCCTGTCGCAGTGACCTCCTGACCTCCGAAATTACAAATTCCTCGAAGGTCATCCCTCTTGACTCGAGAGAAACAATCGTCGTCCGCCTCCACAAAAGATTCCATTGAGGAGGACGCGAGTGTTGTTCGCCTTATCTGGCGGCGGTTTTCAGACGCACCTTTTATCGTGGCCGATTTTCAAGATCCTTCCGCGAACCGACGACGAAAATTTCGAAATCCTCGTCGCGGCCGCGTCCCGGATACGAATTCACGGGACAAAGAGGCATATTCAGTTATAAATTATCGCGAGCTTCGCGATATAATTAATTTCCTTTCCCCGTGCGCCCGTCGCCTAATCATCGACAAGCTCTTAAGATTGACCCTCGCGATGCTCAGGGAGAAGAGGATACTCCACGACCGCCATATTACTATTTTAAGAATTACTGAAACTACAATTTTGTTTATTCTTCGTCGTAACCTATCGTTTCTTTGCGCGCTCTATTCTCTCTTTCTCTCTCTCTCTCTCTCTCGCATTTCTCCCTACTATTCAATCTAGGGGAGCGAAGGAATATGATTTCTACTCTCTTTTAAGAAATCATTCCACGAGCAGCCTTTATCGAAATCTTGACTGACGCGGAGGATGTGGAAAAAATGACTAGACAGCTGCGGAACGATACGTTCGCGACGGAAAGGCTGACTCTCGTCAACTTTTCCCTTTTTATTTCCTTCGTGCACGATTAAAAAAAAATTCACTGCCGTTCGACGATGAAAATATGGTTCATCGAGATGACGGCATCGGTTATTTTTATACGGAACGCTCGCGTAATTCGTCGAGCACTTTTTCTTACGAGGAAGTGGACGAAATCGAGTCGGAGTAAACACGAGGAATTTTTATTGGACGACTTCGTGATCCTCGAATCACGAGTAAAAGTTGTAAAGTGGCTCCGTAACACTGACATGGTATTTCTTAAATTAGGAATTTATCTAAATAACTAAAGCATACGAATACCTGACGAGAAACTACATCCATCAAGATTAGAATTATCTTTGCGACCGCGTAAATTAATATCGCGTGGAACGAGACCATGTATGTCGAAGGATCGATGTGTATAAGTATGGCGAGGCTTTGAATGCCGTTTTATAAATAAAATCCTTCGGAGGTCAGTTGTAAACATTCGCGAAACGCTCAACGTCAGCGCGCTACTCGAAAAGTTTGCGAAAATTCGGCCTGTTTATAGAGCGGACTCGGTAAAGAAAACGCTGCGATCGATCTCGTTCCAAGCGACTATCTAAATTGTTTATCGGAGGCCAGCTCGGTGCATTTCACGGCGCGAGCTGAACGCTCGAACGCTGAAAAATGTGTACACGATTAAGAATAACAGTCCAACACGTGCTGGCGCGCGACGGAGAAAGAGACGGAGGCCCTTCCTTTTCTATGCCTTTTTAATCTCGAGATGCGGGTAAGTGGCATAAAAGTCGCGACATATTCCCACGTCCCTCGTCGGTCGGATTTCGATAAGCATGTTTGCTCTTGGAAACCTAGAATAGTCCATTCGCGGTCCTCCTATTTTGCTTGCTGGTACCGTTCAAAGCGAACTGCTCAAATATTTGAAGCGTCTCTCCCTCTACACTCGGCAGTTTTATTATGCAATCGTGGTCGACCGGAAACGTACAGATCTCTCTGTAATCTCTTTTGCGACTCCAAAGTACTTGTGCTTAGGCTAACCAATGACACATATATGTACAAAAAACATACATTGTCAACTGGGAATATATTCTATTTGTCTAATTACATTGTACTACGCTATAACTATTTCAATAAAATCCAATAAAAAAAAAAATCAAGCGTATTTAGTAAAAAGATACACCTTCCAAATCCAAATTCGATATCCTACATACTACTCAGGCTCTCAAAGTCTCACAGATAGCTCAAGGAGGCTGGGGATGGGACAAGCTGCCTGAGGGTGGCTCTAGCTGTCAGACCCCCAGGCTCTGATTATCAGGAGATCATGATATGCGAAGAGGTGGCACGAAAGAAATCCGGTACGCATCAACTAACACCTCTTAACGCCTTCTAACATATTTTAACATCTCCTAACAAACTCATGAAGAATGACGTAATATACGGTATCGTGGAAATTTTCCCTTTAATTCCCCTTCATTTCCTGGCACATTTCCCTTTAATTTCCCTCCATTTCCTGGTATATTTCCCTTTAATTTCTCTCCATTACCTTACACATTTCCCTTTAATATTACTCCGTTTCCTGGTATATTTCCCTTTACTTCCTGGTACATCTCCCTATAATTTCGCCTCATATCTGATATTTTCTGGTTTAACAATGTTGCAACGGCTCCGCTCAAAGTTTCAACAATCAACAATTCAAACGAGCAGGCAACCGTCCCGACATATCTGTTGGTACAGGTTGCCTAATTCAAGGGGCACATCTTCTTTGGGACGTATCGAAATTCTGGCCAAGATTTTGCATTTTGGTATCAGGAGAATATGATATTCGAAGAGGTGTTCTGGTAAAGAAGGGAAATTAATGTGAAATGTTTCAGGAATTGTCAGGTGGCATTAGGAGATGTTACAAATTGAACGAAAAGTGTTTTTCTCAAAATGATCTCTTTATTCCTAAAAATTAGAATACATCGTCGGACACTTATGTGTATAAATTAGCCTTTAAACGCTCGTAATAACGCTCACATATTACGACTGATCATCTACGCTTTAGTGGGCTCTTTATACGCGGTACAATAAATATGCTAAGTACAAAAGCACGACTGTCAGCGTAGTAACGAATAGAGGTTAAGCATCTGCGTTAATTACGTGACCTAGCGTGCTTCGATAGTCGTTGAATTCGTTGCCGATAGCTCGATACGGCGCCACGATCTTCCCTTTTTGGATAAATTACAAAATCGTCAGGGATGAACAATCTCTAATCTGGATGTAAATTTTATCCAACGAATGGTAGATAAACAGCTTTTTGGTTTGTTTCATTTCTTTAATAACTTTGCGTGCACTTTGATAACGAAGTTATTATCTTACAATTTTTGAATAATATTGTAAATAATAAAACGTTATTAATATCGATTAAGACGGACATCTCCTCGATTTCAAAATTAACAATGAAATGGGGTTTTCGTGGATCTCAATAATAAATATACCGATAAATAAATTAATCATTGGTGTTTCATTAGATGCGTTTCATTAGAAGCTTTCGATGCATTTCGAGTGCAATAGCGACTCTACACGATGCAAACTCGATCCTCGAAGACGGGTTCAAGGTCCACCCGTTTTTCCTCCTAGTTTCAAATAAATCTCCGCCACGTGGATATTGCGACCGATCGAGTTTCGCGAGTTTATTTGAAGAGTGTGCCGTACACTTTGGTACACGTGGCGCATAACAAACTGCACGATTCGCTAGCGGTCAGTTTATAGTTCGTGCCTTATATACTTATTATATTTGGATCGCCGCGGGGCACCGTATCGAGCGGACTGTTTATTTAGCCTGAAATTCTGCGCTTTGGAATGGCCGGCTGTCATGGAATGATGTCATGGAGTAAGATCGTGCCTCTGCTATGCCGTGCACGCGAACGCGTATCGCTTTCTCGATCCCCTATAACGCGTATTGCCTGATGATGTTATGGTCAGACATCAGAAACTCGAAGACTCTCGAATTTTGATGGCATCGACTCGACTAGCGAAGTTTATGGCACCCAGGAGCTTCGAAGCTGTGATTTACACGATTTAACAAATATTGATTGATTATCTAAAGTCACTGATCAAATTATTAGAGCCTTTAAAAAGAAAAAGAAGAATTTTTCTTTTTAAAGAAGCAATGCATACTAAACAATTTCAAATAATATAGTTTCTAAATAAATTTATATTCGCATATAACTTTTATTTCTACTATTGGAGGAATAATAATTATTCCACTGATCGATAACATTTGTCCCATAGTAAAAGCGTTTCAGATAAAAGAGAAGCATCCCTAAAAATCATAAGCTTCGCGTTTCGAAAGTCTAGATTCGCTTCTGCTCGAGTATTTGCTTTTTAGATGACTTCAAGCATTCCTGAAACGAAGTAGCCACCGAGTTTCTGCGCTGTTCGTGTGACAAAATCACGGACACTATACCCCCCCCCCCCCCGTCTCGCGTTCTTAAACATAAAACACCTAACGCTACAATTAATCGTTAACTGCTTCGCATATTTGGCTATTTTCCGACGTCCCCGATTGGACGCTCAAAGACGATTCTTCAACGATATAGTCCAGTCACTCCCGTTCCAATTTTTCATCGTTATAAACTATTGACCCTACACAAAAAAAAAAAAAAACTGAAAAACTATTGGAACCCGAAGAAAATGTAATCCACGCAACGATTCACTATTTTATTTACACCTTGTCTGCAACGATTAAATGAAAGTGTAAAAAATTCAGCTGGATGATAAGAATATTTTCGTCAAGTGACTGGACTGATAGCGACATGGTGCTATTACTCTCCGCGATATTAGATTAGGTTTACTCTACATGTAGTGGGCCCAAGCTTCGATGCCAGGTACGTAACGTTGGTATTGCGCGTAAGACGTTGACACGTGGGGGTGGCTCATCTGCGTACCTGCGTGCGAGTAGTGCGCGTTGTGGGAAGAGGATATGTACTGCATCGAGGGCAAGGGTGGTTGGAGTTCATGGTACCTGACCATCTCCTGGGGCCTGTCGTCCCAGGACGACTCGAGGATCGTCTGCTCCGAGCAGTGCCGTTTGTTCGGTCTCTCCTCCTCCTCGTATCTGGAAACGAAAATCGAACGTCCTTTTCCAACAGATTCGCGATCAACTGCTGCTTCATGCGCCAGGATGTGCTGCACCTTTACGATGGTAAAGCGGTCTAAAGAGCGTGTTTGAAGAGTATGTTCATTTAAGCAGATTCGCTCCAAGATTACTATTAGTTTCTGTTATTTTGTAGGAACTTTTAGGGGGCACAAATATCAAGAAAAATGATATATAAAATAAACATTCAAAGGTACGTTTAAAGCATTGCTCTAAACTCTAGCACAAAATTCGGCACGAATAGCATGACCTAATCAGCTGTTTACATTAACGCGCACGTTCCATAAGCTTGATTATTGTTTAGGCGTCGCGTAATTTCAACTACCAAAAATCGTGTCCTACTCTTGATGCCGATCGAAAACTACATAAACCATGTATCGCACGAGCAATTTTCTGATTTTAATTAATTACTAATTAATTGCTCACATTCAACGCATATAAATTCTTCCCTGTTATACGAAACATCTTAAATAATATTATATCTTTAATTCGGAAGACTTTCTATCGCCCAACAATATCTAAAACGATTAAACGTAGTTACTCGATAAATTTAACAACAAGCTAGCAATTTAATAATTTCTCCACCTTATAAAGATTTTTATATTTATATGACCTAACTCTTCTCCTTTCCTACCTGTCGCAAATTAATTATCCCAGCTTTGTAATCCTCCGAATAATTAGGTTCATGCATAAAAAATACCACGATCGTGAAATTTCAAAATTACCTGTTGAATATCCACGGGGATGAGGTGGTCGTTGGGGTAGATGAGTGAACCAGTGGCGCCTGTGGTCGAAGGTATTGATCTAGCTCGTTGCTCTCGACCTCGCACTCCTGTAGATTCAGGGGAATGTTCAGACCAACACCTCCCAGCGTTCCCAGTCCGTTCAGTTGGCCATCCTCGATTGGAAGCTCCTCGCCACCTTGGATGTACCGGAAGTCGACTCCGCATTGCTGCTGATGCAGAGAGTCGTTCAAGGACGTCAACACGAGATCCTGCTGGTAGATGGTACTGTTCTGCTGTGGCTGATTGCTCTGCAACAAACAAACGGATCGGTTTGCAGAATAATATCACGATTGTTTGGTAGAATATTTCATTTTGGTGGTCACGTAATGCTGGAATATTAATATTCAGTTTTGAATCATAATCGCTACAAAATAAAAAAAAATTGAAATTGAAAAGATCTAATTACCTGATTGACGAAATGTTGCCCTCGAGGAGTGGTAGGAGGGGTCGGTGGGGAGAGTCCTTGATTGGGGGTAGTAGGTGGAGACGAGCTGTCTCCGCTCTGAGGCGAGTTGAGGCTCTGCGCGCCCCTGGGACTCATGTCTTCCTGTTTCAGAGAGTGCTCCGTTTTCAGAGGAGGCTCCTGCTTCAGCCTGGACACGTTGAAGGTGACGTTGCTTTGGTTCCTCGAGGGTGAGCCTTCTCTTCCAGACGGTCCATTCTGTTTTCGTCGACGGGGTTGGTACTTGTAATCGGGATGTTCGCGTTTATGGATCACGCGAAGGCGATCAGCTTCCTCGATGAAGGGTTTCTTGTCGTTGTCAGTGAGCAACCTGCAACAAAGATAAAATTCACAGCTAGATGGTAGACTTATCGACCATAGCTCTGAAAGAAATGAAAAGAAAATAATCGCGCGGCCCAACGCGTGCAATCCATCGTCGACCCAAACTGATTCACGAAGCGATTAGGGTTCACACGCGCATACGATTCCCTTGGCCTGCGAGTATCCGGCACCAGAAGAGGCTGGGGAACGAGAGCGATTCTATGACTCGCGCGATACACTCGAGGAGTCGAAATGGGAGGTCTGGTTAGTGTTTCTGGCTGCGTGGAGTCTCGAGGGCGCGGAGCTGACGCACACGCGGGTAAACCGTGTGGCACCGAGGCCGAGACAGCACGCGGTCCTCGCCGTTCAAACTCCATCCGTGTTAGTCTTTAATTCCTGGTGTTTATGTTCCCACTGGGCTCGTAAAGTCGCGGCCCGATAAGCTCTTCCGGTGGTGGCCGCGAGAGATCTCCAGGATTCCAGCAACAATTCCACGGCGAACGCTTTATTCGCCACGTTATCGTTTCCGTTGGACGAAATTCAGGCCTGGAGGAGAGCCTTTGAGTCCTGGAAGAATGGGATTAGAGCAAAGATGACTCGGGAGAAGACATCCTTGGTCTCTCTCCGCGCGGCCGCAGCAATTTCTTGCAAAATTTTACTTTTCGCGTTATATTATAGACGATGATTGAAGATAGGGGCACGATCATCCACCGATTTGCTATTCGTTGTGAATGTGACAATTTACAATTTACAATTTATCTATAAAAAAAATCATATATTCGACAATCTTTTAAAAATATAGTTACGATTTTCATGCTTCCCCCATGAAGTCAATCGACAGGACCGAGCAATTAGAAGTCCGGAGTTTTTCTTGCTGTTATTTGCGAAAAGGGAGGGGCTCGCAATCGTTATCGGTATCGATATCTACGCGGAACCAGGTGTAGGCGTCGGGAATAAATCTTCTCCTTTTTCTTCCGCCTTGAAAGGTATCGCGTTCGGATATTAGACGCCGGTGTTTGTCGACAAAACGAAAACAGATATCCTCGGTTCATCCTTGGCGCGTGCTGGCAGCTGCCGTGTCGGTTCCTGCCTCCGATAAAGCGCCCCCGAGGATCACAATAAACGCCTTGTCCCCGTCAGGTGAATTTTTCCGAACCTGCCCCCTCCCAAGCCGCCCCGTTCCTCGAGACCTCGTGCAAATAACGCCCGTGACGAACAGGTAAATGCATCTTATCTGACGGAAGCAACGTGTCACCGTCTCCCTCGCGGTTTCCATTTCTTCCTCGAGACACCCGTGCGTCTAACCTTTGCGCTTCCAACTTACACCGTTTCGCGACGTGATCTCTTTTCGATTGACTTTACACTTTTATCCGATTAAATCGATTTTTTCGACGTTCAACTCTGGAGACCTGGTCGTTTCTTGATTTATAGTTGGCTCGGACTTCGTCGGTTGGTACCATGAGGCTTGGAATACGAATAGTGGTCTTTTCTTGAATGTTACATTGCTACATTATTGAATTGCGTACGATCCATTTTGCTTCGTTACTGTTACAACATTAACATCTAAGAAATTGAATTGTCTATTTATATAAGCACTGTCACACAAAGTAACTGAGTGCAAGTCACGAAAGAAACTTTTCGAACAACTCGATACTATCGTACACGATTCAATTGTATATAGAAAGACATAGAAAGCTATATTGAAAAAAAAAAATCTATGGAAAATAGTAGGTAAACAAAAAGTTTCAAAATGAAAGTGATCCACCCAATCCGCCTCTATCCTGCGTAATCGATTTCTCTCCGACGATACTTTCTAACACTTTCAGTATCGACTCTGATGCGACGGGAAAGACGACAGCATAAGCGAGCCTCGACACCAACTATGAACAAATGACACGGACGCACGGAGAACTAAATTAGCTGACCCTGCGTTGCATCTGGCAAGGAAAAAGAGAGGCTGCGACACGGTTCGCTATCGTCTTGGGGCCCTACTAGTCGAAAAAACTTGGAGCCAAAGTCCATTGACCAGATGGATCTCCTCTCTCTTGCTCGCTCGTTCTCAGTGACAAAACATCTCGCGCGTTTCAACTCGAGAGATACGCGGCTCGAGCACCTCTCGACCGCGTCCTCGTGGGATTTAAATTTCTCTCCTCTCGTGCCAGGCGTTCTCGACGAGCTTGTCGAACCTTCGATACTTTGTTCACGCAACGCACGCAACCACCTACATACGTGTACGCATCTAATGACCAAGCTACATCACAGGGTGGGCTAATTAAAATATTTGACAGGAGCTTTATAGATATACGAGGTTCAAATTCAACCACGATATTATCATCGTAAAGTTCTAAGAGACTCTGCGTTGCACTTAGATGTGACACTTTTAATCATTTAATTAACCTATTCACGCTGATTACATGTGTATGCCTATTATTAAACTATCACGTAATTGAAGATAGTTTAAACACTTAACTCTCCTGTGCACATGTCGAATCCCAGAAACCAGGTGCATTTAATTTTATTATCACGTTTACACTGCTGAAAGCAAAATAGCTACACCTGCTGGCAGTGGTAAGGTACCGAGAAAGCCCAGCGGCTAGTTTATACAGTCAGTGTAATAAGTATTCGTACAGGAACCATTTATTTAAAATTTAACAGTTATTATCTGTATTCGTTATTTGAAATTGTCATGTGAAATCTCTCCTATCTATTATAGGACGCGTTTTCACCGAATGTCCATGAAGAACTCTGCGCGCCGTCGGGAAGGTCTGTTAGCTCCGGTAGCCAGTGTTAATTATGCTCGAGTCTATTTCGAAAGGCGTTAAATAATTACTTTTTAGAAGCCCGAAACTTAGGGAACCATTCTCATAGGTATGTTTTCCTCCTGTCGCTGGAGTCCGTGACGAAACCATAAGAGAGTTTTAATTGAGGTGAAGAAGTAAAGGAAAAATTTCTATGTGATGACAATCACAGGCCATTACGCATCGAAAACAATACGTTTCGAAGGGGAACACACCACGGTGCTCTATTTTGACGTTAAACACATCCAAGAGCAAGATCGACGAAGCGTTCGATCTGCGATCGGGATCGCGATCGAGCATTGTAAAATGATTCGCCGCGGGGGTTCTTGTCGGCGCGTCCTGTGATCCTGGCTGGTGGACCCACTGAGGCATCTCGTTAGCCTCGACCAGGAAACGAAATATCCTCGAGTGGTTCAACGTTTCGCGGTACGTCTCGATCATGCGACTTTCTTATGGCGACTTTTTTTCTTCCCTCTTATCGATCGATCTTGTCGAACGTTCCGCTTCGCTCGATATTGAGCGCGACGATGCCTTGGGCTTCCGGTTTTCGAGCTTAAGGCTTTCGAATATTATAGGAATTATGCGTACCAGCGACGTAGTTGTTTAAATTCGTGATCTATTCACAAGTTTCGTTGGACTATATATTGTAGATTGTTATTTATATAGCGGAAGCATCCTGGCGTAAAGCACAAACGTGTCGAAATTGTTCAAAAAAATGTTCAAAGACTGGGGGAAAAACGGTCGACGACGTTTGACAGTGTCGAGCTAGCAACGCTGTCAACTGTGAACGGTCGTACCACGTGTAGTACGGTCTCGGCGCCACGTGGTGAGAATGTGTGCGAGTGTGTAATTGCTCCTGGAAAAAAAAAGCTGGCCGCGATATTCGCCTGTAAAAATAGAACGGGCGCGCAACAAGTGGTCGCGTGGATCGCCCTCGAAATCCAGCCGACGTTTTCTGGATCGGATCATTGGCCAAAGTAGCTCAACTGATCAGAGAAAAAGATTCTCAAGATTCACGTGGCTCTTCACTATAGCAAGTCCGTGAGAATCGTCATTATCTGATCGTGTCTGCTGAGGCCCGCGACTCGAGACACGTGGTGTCGATTAATTTGATCAGGACGGTGCTTTCGCGCCAGAAACGAAGCCTGAAAGACGCAAATCCTCGCTCTGTCTATCGTTTTTCCTACGCAGCGAATTCGTTTCGTAGGGTTCTAGGAAAGAGAAAGTCTAATCTAGGGAGTATTACATGTAATTTGCAGACAAACTCACCGCCAAAGTTTCCCTAGGGTCTTGGAGAGCTCTGCGTTGTGAAGCTGAGGGTACTGATCGGCCAAGATTCGCCTGGCAGCCTGGGCCCACACCATGAACGCGTTCATGGGCCTCTTCACGTGGGCCGCCCTTTTATCGCCGGAACCCCTGCAATTCGAGGACATTATCTTCATTGGAAACGATTGGTTTCTTCGAACCCAAGTCCTAGGAAGTCTAGGAGTGGGTTACCAATAGTTGAATCACCTAGCCAGTTTGACTGGTTCGATGAATACTAAATCTATATATATATTTATTTATTTTTAATTAGTTATAAATTATATTTTTCTATGACATTTAAAGGTATGTTTCACGCAAGTAGCAGTAACTTATAAGACAATCAAATATGATTTCCTAGCATCGATTCGTTCATATTTTATACTCTGCATCAAGAATCGAATGACTTAGCTCGGAGGTCGAAGGGTTAACAGATCTCGTCAGGATGGAAATCGCTTCGAAGACCAGAAGCGTCGAAAGAGAGAGAGAGAGAGAGAGAAGACCCCCAGAAGGGATTTCTCGAAAACAGCCCCGGCTGTCGGATGACTTGCAGAAGAAAATAACCAGAGGCACCGTGTTCTGGTACGCGTACAGACAGACAGACAGACGGACAGACGTACGAGTTGCATCCACGCGTGGAGTTCTGTATCCGCGCTACCCCCAGGTCAGTCGCGCGGCACGCTTAAAACCGGCCTTAAAATAACACCGCCGCTGCCAACGGGTGACGAGCAGGAATGGACGTATTCCTTTCTTTCCTAGAAGATGACTTCATAAAACTGCTGCCCCGTCCAGTCGACGTCGGGGATCGACGTGACTGACGTGATTGCCGTACCCCCTTCTACGTTTCTGTTTTCTTTATGGACTTTATCGAGCCTCGCTCGAGGACTTAGCGGCCAACCACTGGCGGCTAAACAGGAACCGAACGATACGCGCCTCTAACGGACTATTCCTCTAACGAATTATTTGGAAATTAATTTCTAGAGAACGGACGCAGTAGATTTTTGATTCTACGGAATGTTTCTGCATGTATTTTGAAGATAAAAAGAATATTTTCAATAAAAGAATATTTCCAAACGAAACAAATGAAAAGGACTCGAAACCGCGAATTCCAGACGAATTTCTCGACTTCAGATCGCGAATAACGTCGTTTCGAAGCGCGTTTCGAAGAGCGTTTCGCGGATGGGAAAGACCGCGAGAAGCGAGTAACGCGGATAAAAAGCAGCCAAGGATTCGAAAACAGGCTCGTATAATATTTCGGCCTCTTTGAAATAAGAGGGGCGTTAAATCCGTGTGTAAACCCGAGGAGCCGTTGGTAATTATCGTGGGCCTACTAACAAGGGTTTTCACGCCAGTCGCGGCTTCGCTGTGCGCGCGGTTTACCTGGATACGCGAAAAAATCCCCGAGTCTTTACACCTCGTTTACCTGCACGCGAGAGTACACCGATGGAGACGCGTAGGCGTGGCTCTGTCAAGCGATGCACCAGCTGCAGCCTCTCGGTGTTTCTTTTCCTTTTCTCTTATTTTTATTTCGCGAGTGTACATAAACATGTGCTTATTCGATGCTTCGTCGCGATTTCGCGAGTCACACGTTTCGTCACGAATACTTCCATGTGAAAAGATACGTTTTTAAAAATAGTCTTTCTTTAATCGAACAAAACGTTCCTCGAATTCTCAATTTTTCGTTGGACTAATCAGAGAAAATAAATTTGCATCTCATAGGTAATAGAAAGTATAACTCGTTAATAAATGCATAGTTAGATTACTACGAAACTCGAGTTCCCATCGACAAATTACTTTTCTTTTAATACGAAAACATACCGATGCTTCTTGCCAGTAAGAAATAATAAATCCTCCAAGAATTCCGATTCACGATTTTATTTTCGCTATTGCAGTGACTCTTCCCTATTTTGAAATTCACATTGCGGTTCAAAGATAGACGTGATGCGGCCGACCTGCGATAAATCGAGAAGGGGGGAAGTAAAAATACGCGGTATTACCTTGAACAAACACAGGAAATACGCAATAGTTTGGGGTGCATTCTCATGGGTTTCATGGGAATTAAAACTAGTCGATTTTATCGGCCCCTATCGCCAGGAATAAACACCGTACCCTTTAGCTACCCCGAGATAACCCCGTGTAATTGAGGGTTAGCGATAAGGCGACGTGCATAGCGATACACTCGGAGATTTCAACTGCAACTACGAAAGTTTCTGTGACCTGCCCCGCTCTCACCTATACGCGATATCTTCTATATTTCTACCGAAACATGTTTACCACGCGGTGGAAAAATTGTACTTTTCGGACGCTAGAAGATGCATCGTGCAATAAACTGGTAGATTTCACCAATGGATTGAAATTGAGAATTCGTGGGTTATTTTGTTTGAATAAAGAAAGAATTTGAGATTGTACAATGGTATAAAAGTGGCATTTAGGTTCGCAATGTTAACCTTCCAATATCCCTCGAGAGGAGATATCGGGAGGTCAGAAGAGTGGCAAAATCAACGAGCATCGCCAGAAGAGACGCGTTCTTCTCGCGCGTAAACGGTACGTCGAACGACGGATCGCGAAGTCGATTCTTCGCTGCGCCATCAGAACGATTGCGTCACTCCTCCCCCGGCTAGGAACGCGTTTCGATTTTATCGAATCGTAACGATCGTCGGTATGGCGCAACGAGACGCGCCATTAATTCGTCCCCTTCTTCGATACGCGACCAAAAAAGATGCGTTCGTTCCTCGTATCGCTCGTCCTTTTCGATCTTCGTTTCCCACGAGTCGGCGATTGACGGAAAGACGGGAGGAAAGAGAGAGATGGAGAGGCGAGCCGACGAGATCGGGCATTAATTAGCTAATTTGCGTTAATTGGCAACCGAGGACATTTTTCCACCAGCGGTTTCCCAAGCCGAGGAAACGAGTGCGTCATAATTAAGTTAGCGTTACGTATTTTTCAAGCTGCGCTACGCTCCTGCGTACTCTCCTCTCCACCGCCCCGTAGTTTCTTCGACATTTCTGCATTTTTTTTTACCCATTCTTTTCCGTCGCGCGAACCTACATGCCTAAAACGCTTAGCGAGGGCTTCGCGCGTTAATGTCTGCTAATACGACTCGCGGTGATTAAAAACGTCTTCGAAGACACTGGCTAACGGAAGAGAGGGTAGGTGGGAGGGACGGATCTGCAACCTGTTTCCATGAATACAGAAGTTTGGATTTACGAACTTGGAGTACATGTAGAAGCTTGCATTTTTAGAGGAGAGTATGTACGGTGTTTTTCAAAAGGAGATTCGAGATTTGTTATTTCTTTTAAATGCAAGTTTACTATATTTATATATAGTACTATATTTATTTAAAAGAAATTCTTGTTTATATAGAAATGGTACGTGCCGTTGCTCTTATATAACCAAGAATTGTGTATATTGGATACGGCGCTTCTTCGAGAAAAGTGCGTGTCAATAAGCGGATCGTATCGATGAAAATCGTCGATGTATACATCGGTGGCAAGGTCGGTCAAAATTATTTTTACTTCCGTGAAAACTATTTAATCGATACGTATTTCGATACGTATCCACTTTTTTGAATTATTAACGAGAAACCACCGACCAATCACAACGCCGATTAGCGATCTTTCTAAACGGGCAGTCTACTTATGACTGAATTCACTACTGTGTTGTTGTTTGTCTATCCTACAGTACTCAATTTTTAGAAACAGACAAACCTTATAATATACTTAATAACAATATGCAGAAATTGATTCTAGTAACCTAGAAAAGTTTGTCCTAAACTGTAAATTCTTTCTAAATTAGCTGATAGTTGACTATTTCGACTGTAGTGAGAATATACGTCCTAAAGAATGTTTTTGTTTGCCTTTGGCCAAATTACAAGTGAGATTTATAGAAACGTACACGAAAAGAAAATGAATATCATCTATACCGAAGCAAATTGACCCTTTTCATCAGTCTACGACCTTTGAATTATGGCTAACTCTAGTTCGATGGAATTAATTTAAAAAAAGGGACAAATAGAATCGAAATAGAAAAAGGTCGAGTCGAAAGGGTTAATAAAGCGTAAAAGCAGCCAGCGTATAATATCGAACGGGCAACTCACTTGGTAGCAACTGGTACCAGGGTCCAGTCGTATCCCTGAAGAACCTTGGTGACCGCCGCGCTGATCTTTTCGCCGCCATTGGCACCGACAGCTGCCGCAACAGCGGATGCCATTCCATTGTTGTTCACGTTACCATTGCTGTTATTACCAGCATTGCTCGACGAAATGGTACCCGACGTCTCTCCCATTACGTCCTTCATCTTGTCCTTGTTCGCGACAGGGAAAACGAGAAAACAAACGGAAAAAACGCGCGACGAACTTGTACGAACCGAATCTATAATGTTTATCGTGCACCGTTCATCGTTCGATCCAGAGAACTCTCTTCGATCGAAGTTACCGTTTTATCATGGTACACGCGTCACTTCCGTTTCGCCAACTCCTTTCCACGACGTCGATGCTCCTTCTGTAGTTTTCTCTGACGCGAGTTATCGACGTCGCAGGGTTTCAATGAATTTTTCACTCGATCACGGAGCAACAAATGCGCCGCGGGATCGCATAGTCAGGCTGTGCTCGAGATCTCGGTCCTCTTTTTTCCTCGCGGTCGCTCCGCAGGCACTCCTAATCTGTTCTTCTTTGTGCAACCGCGAACGTTTTGCTCCCTTTCTTCGTTTACGCTATCGGCAGGCCTCTCTCCGCGACACCGACGTTCCACGCGAAGCTGTTGCGAATATATTCCAAGCGATTCTTCGATTTCTAGGAACCACTATCGTTGGAACACTCTTTTTCTCGATCTTCTTTCTCCTCGCCGCCGGCAGATTACGATGCTTCCGCTTTCTCTGGGCCACGAAACGATCTCGTCGTATCTTCTTAAGATACCAGGCCCCGAGCACTTGATCACCGAATCACAGACGCTGCTTTGCACGAAACTCACTGAACGGCTACACCGTCGGTAGCTCACTGGTGTCTAAATCGCGTTGTCCTTGAGAAATCGATGGAATCGGGTGTTCGGAGGCTTGGGAAAATGGGGAAATCGCCGAGACGGCACTTCCTTGGCACTTTGTTTCAGCGTATACGAAGAGGATTTGGTCGAATGCGTCGAAGTAGCGGCACGGTATCGTTTTCCAAGCGAGGAAATGCCGGAGCGCGATAGAGAAACCGATATGCGACGACGAGGATGATTTCTGGATGCTGGCGCGATCGGCGCTCGAGTGAGGTGGTTGCATCGCCTCAGGGCAGTTTCCACCGATTCCTCCGACCACGGCTGCTGGTTGGGGGCGGGGCGACGGCGAGGAGCTGGTTAACACTAACACTTGTTGCTTCCCGATCGTGCGAGTGGTCGAGGGGAAAGGGACAGAGGAACGGAGAGGAGAGGACCGCGACCGCGCGGCTTCGCCAGGAACTTTCGACTGAGCGGTTAAATGCTCATTGTCAGCAATGCGCATGACCGAATTCAGAATGTGGCCAGAAGAAAAGTTTTTCTTTTCGAAATATATTCGAGGTAATTAAGGTCCGAGCGAGACATCTGGGGGGAATTTCCTTGAAATTATTAGGGGAGGGGACAGATTTATTGAAATTTACCGAAGAATGAAAAATATCTATTATTTAACATCCACTCGGTACTGGCACGCTTTTTTTTTTTTATTATGCACATACCTTTTGATTATGTTTCGGATGTATTTATCATATTAGTTCGTATCATAAATGCATAAAATCCGCGATCTACGAATTACCAAGAAACTGAACTGTTTGTGGAGACTGAAGTTTCGTTAGATTTGTAAATACATAGTGAGTTAATAGAGCCACGTCTAAGGCACAGCCTGCTAGATAAACTTCATTAATGAGCCCAAGTATTAGATTTGAAATAGAACGCTATTGCTTCTTGGAATACAGATATCAGTTTTAAACATTAATTAAATTATTGAAGACTCTGAAAAAATAACAAGATTTTTCGAGACCTCTTGAGACTTCTGCGAATCAAACAACGAAGAATATGTCACTAACGTGTATTATTGAATAACGATCGAATATAAAGTACTCGAATAAAAATATCACAGTTTCACGATCAAGGAAAGTTTGAATAGCAAAGACTTACTAAACGCCTCTCGTCATCTGTGTCTCTTTCGGAGCAGAAATGGCGACATTGCCAAGAATCGAATAAATTCCTGACGCAACGTCTCTCTAGTCATTCGATTCCTCAGCCAACTATCAGCCCCTCCAGGTATCCCTCCCCTGGTATCATTTATTTGGAAGTAGACTCTCCTCATCGCCGAGAGTTTCCATGGCTACGATATCCTCTGGGAGTAGGACCAATCGGGTCTTTCCTCGCTCCACCTATCTATCCTCTCCTTTCAATGTCTCTCCCTCCATCCTGTTTCCTACCTCTTCCTCCCTCCCACGCAGGGGCGGCGATTGGTCGACCGGTCGTTGGCAGTTACGACGTCATCAAGGAGGAGCGTGCAATTTTCCTGGCGATGCACCAAGTCCGTAATGCGTTGATGGTTGCAATTCGCACTTGCACTCGTCCACGGGATCTCGAGCTGCGAGGAGCTCTTTTCGAGAATATAACCAGTCCTAGGTTACATCCTCGAAATGAAAAATATAGTAGTTATGTTACTAACAAACTGCAGATGTACGCATTTAGAATGTATGGCAATATATCGAGATAAAATCAGAAATCATTATACGAATGTTGATATAATAATTCATTTTGCATACGGGCAATAGTTTCTCTACCACGTTTGGGATATTATTGTATATACTTTTCATGCTCGTATTCCGTACAAATGCATATAATCAGCAGCCTAGAATTACAGCAGATCACCTGAACTGATAAATTTTCATTTCAAGTCTGCAACAAGACGAGGTCTACGTCTGTTTAAATTTTTCAATCGTATGTAAAATGTTACGAAACATGAGAAACCTTTCAAGATCAATTCCTTATGTTAATACGAACAGAAAGATTCTTCTTCAGTTTGCAATCCGAGGTTTCGTTATCAAGATATAAGCAATTCAATTTTTTGCGCGCATAAACCCGTGGACACGTGCCTCTCGTGTATGCGCAGCTGCACGATCAGCTGATTGAGATATGAAATGCCGCAGACCGGAAGCCACCATTCAACTATTTGTATTTAAGTATCGAAGCTTCAGATTGTTGTTACGCGACGTTAACGTTAGACACAAATGTTCTTTGTTGAGTATCCATCCTTAGAGATTTCAGCAAGATACAGTGCATGTGCATTAGTAGTACACCAAAGGTTTAAATGATTTTCTGATTTTCAGCTGCTAACTAGACCCTCTAGACTGTGCAGTCCTCAGGTTTTCATTCTTAATATACTCTCCAGAGTGTATAGTCTTCAGGTTCTGGTTGTTAAGAAATTCTCCAAAATATCTAGTCTTTAGGTTCTGGTTCCTATCCAATCGATGAAATTACGCACGACCTCGAATCTCCCAGATGCGTTCACGTAGGCTCGAGCTTACGCGATGACAACGTGCCGTCTCGATGACAGTGCAGAATGTCCCTCAGCTCGTGTCACCGTTGGGGGTCCAAGAGTTGCGGTGCTCGCCACCCGGGGGGCTACATGTGTCGGGTACCCAGCGTCGGCTCTTCTAGCCCTCTCTTCGAGATCCTTTCAAGTGTCCGACAGAGTACCGACGCAGGACCCCCGGGAATTACTGAAATCATTATTTTATATCCGCCACGCTCGCTATCTCCCCTCGTATCGGTATCTCTGTCCCCCAAACGCGTTGTCACCTCCCCGATCGAGGCTAACGAGTCTGGAATTTCCAAAATTTTAGTCATCTTAAGAGAGCAGCAGCTGCGAACTGTTGTTGTCACGTAAGTTGTTGATCATTTTCTTAAGATTGCAGTCAGAGGGCTATGACCTATTGATGGAAGGTAGAGTTTCGAGATTCAAAGCTAACTTTCTATCGCGATCACTTCCGCAACCCTCGCATTTAAAAAAGCCTCATTCCACCGACACAGATTTCCATAAACCTTCAGCCTTTCCAAAGCGATAACAGCTAAAATTTCATCGTACGGCTCTCTTCTAGAAACTAAAGCAGTAAACTAATCGCGAACGCGTCTCCTTCCCAGAACAGTACCCCCAAATGGATAAGTGTCACGGATCGAAGTCTCCGAAAATGTTCGTTACGCATTAGAGGAATCCTGGCAGGGAGTTGTTTGGTTTCGCGAGAAACGGTCACGGGATAAGGGTGAGTCCTTCTTCAGGGAAAATCACGGCGCACGTTTCCCCGAGAGAGGGGTGTGGGAGGGCTGACGGCCCTGAAACGAATCTCTCCTTCGACGCGTATACCGAGAACGAAGGCAACATATTGGCACCACGTGCGCGATTCGGGATGTTTATCCCAGGAAGAGCAAAATTCCGGCTTGGTGAAATCAATATTATTGTTCGCGGTCGGCTAAATTTGTAATCGCGGCTCGGTTGCAGCCGCGGTAATGGCGCTCGCGTGCACCGCAAAAATCAGCTCGACAATGTGCGCGCGATCGCGCGGAAACGATGCAACCATGTTGTATGCGAAGGTGGGGAGGAAATTGCGCGATCAGCCTCGATATTCGGAGCACCGATTGAAAACCGATTTTAATTCCGATTGACTTGGCGCGAGTCGAAACAGAGCTTCTCAGCCCTCGGACAAAGCCATTTTTTGTTGCGCGCCGGTGGGGGGCATACTTTGTAGCCACCTAATAAAAGCCTATAATGTCTGACAACAACTTATTTCAGGGAATGATAAAGCCAGGCGGCACAAAGAGGTGGTAAATGCCAGCCGAATTGATCCGAGCTTGCTACAGCCCCTGAGGGCTTTAATTCATCGAATACTTAATGTCCACGTTTAATTATAGTTTCTTGCATTGCAAGGACTCGTCATTTTTATTATTTCCTAAAAGAAGTCTACTAAAAGAAAACGATATCGAGAACTCAATACTTTCCCAAGAAAATTCAATGCAATTCCATTTCCTTCGTACCAGAATATCCCTCATCATTTCGATCGACATGTGGAAAACTCAGAGTCTCCGGCACGCATGCGAAAGTGGTCATCGAGGGTCAAAAACTCGGGACCGCCGCGTGATACGAAACTGGTGGTGAAAAGGATTCGAGCCGAGGGTTTCCGTGCGATAGACTCGTCAACATCGGGATAAAAACGTAGCTATCCGTAATCCGTCCAAGTGTCTCGAGCGTTTCCGAGAGATCCGTAGCGCCCGCGCGAGAGTTAATCCTGTAAAGTGCGAGCGAGATGCTCCCCCTTTGATCTCGCACAAAAGCCGCCACACGGCATTGACCGTGGTTTATATACGCTCATGTATGGGCCACTGTCTTTGCTAGCTCACTCATTCATTAAATTCGTTGTATAATTAGGCTCGACAGAAAGACGGAGTTGACGGAGACTGTCAACCCGCGGATTCGTGTGCAGCCGCGCGACCAGAGAGAGAAAAGAGACCGCTCAAACTCGCCCCTGGATTTATGCCTCTCGGCAGGTCCTCCTCGTTGGCCTGTTACTCCGATGGGTAGTCTTCCCTCGATCTTTGCACTTTTTTCCAAGGGCCGTCTAGGGCCGCCAACCACGGCGAGCATGGAAAAAAGTACACGACGAGTAGTGCACTGCATAGTGTGCACTGCATACCTCCCAGACATGAACCAACGCTCAACAAACATTCTCCTCTCATCATTTTAAGTCTACCACTCATCTCAGGCCCCAAATCAAATTTCATTTTATTCTATCTTACAGAAGTTACTTTAGCCTTATTTTCGAAGAGAGTATCCACTTTTTGACTTCCAACAAGTTTGAAAACCGTCTAATCTGCAAAATTGAGTCGTTGCGCAGCGTCACGTGCTCAGGGCCCTACCCCCGACGATCTGTCGCAGCGGAATCGCCTGGGATGATCTAATTATAAAGCGCGCGCGAAGAAGCGGCAATTCAACCGTCACGGTCACCGGGTGTTTCTCGGTTCTTTTAGTTTTTCACGTAACGGCGATTCCTTTGCACGCTGTCGAGCGATAATATAATCTAATCGCATTCACCGAGCGACGACGCTGTTTGCTAGGATCAAATAATCGCACGGAGGGAAGCGAGGGAAGCGATCCGCGAACGAGATAATCTTAATTAATAGATTCCGTAGGCTCGTTTGCGCCGCGAGCTGTACGCCTCTAATGAAACTCTCACGACACGCCATGGGATCCGAGACGAGCATTCGCGTACCATAAGTGGCAAATTACGTTACTTTTTCTTTGGCTAATTGCTAAGATGATCGGAATTGGCCAGGAATTTTACGTATTACCGAATGCGATTAAATATTGATCGATTAAAAATGAATCCTAAACAACTCGGTAACGTAACAAAGAACATGATATATTGTGAACGTATTACTAACTAATAAAACGAAAGAAATTCTTGGGACAGCCGATTATTTAATACATTTAATAATCATTACGAACGCTGGTGTTAGATTCTAATAATTCTAATAAATTAAATGAAATTAACACCGCGCGAAGGACATCGAAGGAAGCGATCCGTTCGACGCGGAGACGAGTCGAGAAAAGGAAGAAGATCCTAGGTACGTCCCCCCACCAGAGACAGAGGTGGTCCACGGAACCGCCTCCACGATCTACCATCCCACGTTTGGTGCGTGTGCCAGACGTGTGCTCGACGTTTCTGCCTCTTTCGTGGACCAACCTGTGTGCCTGGTCCCTGAACCTCCGCAGCCTCGTCGATCTCGCGTCCGTGTTCCTTCTCTAGTCAGTCAGTCAGTCAGTCAGTCAGTCAGTCAGTCATCGGAGTCTCCTTGATCCGCTTGCCACGTTTTCAGCTCCGTTACGGGTGTCTCTTGTTCTCGCGGTCCAATCGAGATCGATCGGTGGCAGATCAGTGCGATAAAATTGTTCGCGAGTACACGTCGAATTCGAACTTAGCTCGATGACCTAATCCATCTATTCCGTCTACGCATCTCAACGGAAACGTGAACGATCAATTAATTAATTAATCTTCCTGGAGGAAGGAACAGTTCCTGGTTCGGTGATGAGAATTCGTCAACGCGTGGCGAACGATATTTATCGACCTCGATAACTGAAGGATTCGAGGAGAAAGTGACGGAAGTGGACGGACCGTAGATAAAAGTCGTCGTGGAAGGATTAGGGTCCAAGTCATCGATAAGTTACGAGCCACGATAACCCCTGGGATTAATTATCGACCTCCGCTATCCGCTTCGATTCTTTACGATGAGCCTGTTGCGCTTTGCGTGAAGGAGGACGAGTCTACGATAAACAAACGACCGATAAATTTCAGCGTTTCGGCGAAATTCGTTTTCGTTTCGAGAAGGAGGATCGAGGTCTTCCCTAGCGGGGATATATCTTCGTGGGCTGACAACGAGGCGTTCGTTTTCTGTGTCGCGAATGTGGAGGACGGATAGATAAGTGATTAACGAGAGTATTCGAGGAGATGGAGGCTCACCGCGATAACGGTGTATCGTCGGCGACGGAATCGAAACCTGGACCATCGAGCGGCGAGCAATGCACCAGCTCCTTGGACGACGCTGTCGGCAAGTTACTGCAAGGTTCGACTGTTTCATTATTTTATCAACGATGGGCTAAATTATTATCTAACGGCTCGTGTTGACTTTACGTGGCCTGTTCCCTTAATAGAAATAGAACGTTTTTGTTTTTGAACAAGTATATTTCTTAATATTGTATGACGTTGTTAGAAGAAATAGAAATAGGCCTCTTTTCTACAGGTATACTTTTTAACATTTTACTTTGACTATATATTGTATGACGTTATTAAGAGAAATAGAAATAGACATTTTTCGACAGGTATATTCTTTTAATATTTTATTTTTTTCTGCATATTATATGCCAGTGTCTAGTGAGTTGTAATAGGTTGTTATCTTGAATTAAGCTTGGTCAATGCTCGATTATTCTGTCTTTGGTCAAATGTTTCTGTATCATACGAAAAGAGGTTTATTTCTTTTAATAATGAGAGCTGCTCCACAGTTTTGAGTGATTTTATAACTTACAAGCCAAAAGATCAATGTAATAAGGAATGCTCATCGTTATATTGTCCGACTGTACATCGTACAAAAAGCAACTGCAGTCAAATCTACATATCCAATCACGTATACCGTCCCCTAAGCGGCGTGGATCGTCGTTTTTGGTAGTTGCGGTCGTCAGGTCGAGCGCATAGGCGGGTGTCTTTATCGGGTCGTTTAGGGAGGATACTTTAATTGGCGCTGAAAGCCGGCTTCGGTGGCTGGCTCCTCAGATTTATCCGAGCGATATCCCAGCCCGGTTGGAGAGAAACACGGCCTGAGCATGATGGAAGAGGCAGAGAGATGGAGGAAGGGAAGGAGTAGCGGAGAACCGCGGAAAGACGATTCCGAGGAAGATTTGAGCGACAGGTGCTGCGAACAGAGCGAAACCGCTGAACGCTTGCCACCGACGCTAATTATGCTAGTACGAAATTAAATCCGAGATGGATCGACTCTCAAGGGGAGAGGGGAGAAAAGCAAGCAGAACATGGCAGAAGGTGGAGCCAAGAGGGCAATGGAAGTTGGCTACGATTTACGAGGACGCGTCCCGTTCGAACTCCTTCCTTTCAATGCGTCGACAGACTGAAATTGTACCTTTGAAATATTTCCAATGCTATAACTCTAGAAAAAGATTCAAGCAAACGTTGGAAATATTAGCAAAAATTGAAAGTATTGGCGGAAGAGGTTTATTTGCTGATTCAATCAAGTTGTCCCATTTAATAATTTTTTTCTTAATGCACTTCAAACTGTTTCGAAGCGAGTCGAATAAAAATTCAAACAAAATTTGTTTACTTTAATTTGAAGTGTACAGTCCTATTAGTTCTATCATTCTACCGAGAGATCGCATCCTGGTTATAAATGGTATGCAAAATTGAAAGAATAATCTTTGAGAGGAAAACACATATTGCGAGTACGGAGGTGTTAATTTATGAACAATTGGGTTCCACTTATTGTCACTTAGAGCAAACACGTTGCTGATTTTTAGTAGAAATCAAGTTTACTCTTTCGTATTCTTCTCGCGCACAATACACGTCGCGTATCAAACATAATAGTATTGCGCAACAACAAGGCATAGTCAGATGCTGCTATTATAAACGTAACACAAACCCCGTTGCACAAACAATTGGATGTAATACAAAAACAAAGGAAACAGTTAACTGGTCCACCTGTCTGGCAAACTCGAGCTACTTCTCAAAGATCATAATTTTGACGGAGGATTGGATCGCAATATTTTGACACCCAATCGTGCGCGAGACTAAATAGGCGATAGAGATCGATAGATCTCGTGGCACGTGGCAGGCCAATCTCGTTATTCCTCGACGAGAGGAGGTGTCGATGCATTTAAGGCTGTCTCCTTCTCGTTAACGAAACTACCGGCGTTAACGAGCGATGTTGCAAAGGAGTTAATGTAGCCAGAGTCGACGACAGGTCGCCATTGATGACCGGAATGGCAAGACACACCGGTTCATTCAACGGGCTACAACCCCTTATTGTCAACCGTGTACCCGATCTTCCCTAAGAAACCATTCATGCTTCAGGAAAGAATGAAAGTTCTCGGTCAAGACGTTTCCATCTCGGACGATTAATCAATTGCCCGTTACCGTGTATCTTGATTCGCTTGGAGCACGTGGCGACGGTTGGCACGAGTGTCGCTAAGGTTTCAGTTGACTTGTTAGAATACGAGAGAGATCTACAATTTTTAACGTACGGCTTTTCATCATTCTTTCCGTGGATTCAATGGTACTCTGTTGGGAACCCAGTGGTACCTCTTTAAACAATGAATATTTCTAACAGACCTTTTCTCAAATTCCTCTATCCCTTTCAATCGCAAAATACTATTACCAACATCCACAATCCTTCCGTGCCTTTGATTAGTGCCAGAAAAGATCACCACCAAGAACATCTCGCGTTCCGTCGTGGGAAACGAGCTCGACGACGAGCAATAAACCCGCGTCTCCTTAAAACGAATCCAGCGTGCAACGCGCATAAATCTATTTTACGTTCAACAGTTCCAAAACTGCCTCTCCTAAAAATGGAAAAAAAAAAGAGGAAGAAATCGTTGGAGGGATCGCCTGGAAATTATGCGTACGTTTCTGTTTCTAATTGCCGTATCGGTGATCGTTAAACAAAAAAAAAAAAGGAAGCAAGGAAGGTTGCACGTGGCGAAGTGTCACCAGGAGCGTGCGAGCCCTGGAGACTGTGGATTCGGTCCCTAATTACCATAGGGACACGGTTCACCGACGCGGCATCTCTGTCGGCTCCTTTAACGGCCGCTGGAGGTCCTCGCCGATATCAACAAGAATATTTTCCGTGGAAACGCGGAAGGGCTCGCACCCTAGACAGCGCCAGGAATAGAAAAAGTTTCGCGCGAAAAATATAAATGGCCTGGAAGCGTATGGCTTTCGCCTCTAATCGCACATGCTTGCCTTCTAAACTACTCCTACGTGTACGTATGCATAATTAGTAAGCGAGGGGAACGCGTTTGGTGGCGCATAGTAGATGGCACCACTTTACAAACGGCGAATATTAATACAATTTTACCTCGTTACAATTAGAAAGATTACAGTCTGAAAATAGACTACATTCTGGTCTTCTATTCTCGCACACGTGATTACTACTTTTTAAAATCACCAATAATTCAACAATATAAATGTTCAATGTTCCCAAAGCCTGACAAATAAACGTCTTTACACACTTAATGTTCCTGGACAAAGTACTCACTCGGCACCTCGGCAGTAGAAAGTTCATGACTCCAATCTTTCATCGTGATCTGCCATTGCTCCGAAAGGTTTTAAACGCTTCGTGAAACATCACTTTTGCGTCGTCAGATGTGATCAGCAATAGCTTTCATGTCTTTCTTCTGCAAACACGTGTAATTTTCATTGTCCTGCACTATCAAAACATATAGTATCTATTAATTAATTTAAAATGTATGGGTATACCTTTGGGAACATAAAATAATCGCCTGTAAAACATTTTCTTCTAGATCCTCAATCATCCAATATGGCGTTGCTTAACACATCGTTCGATACTGGTATCCGAAATATTCAAAATAGCTTCTACGTTCCTAGCAGCATTCCTGGAAGAATTTATAACAATTAGAACAAAGTATTGCACGCGATTGATAGATGCATTTACTTATCAGATTCGTGAGATGAACTTTCTTCGAACGGAAATGTCTTGGTGACCCAAATAACCTTTCACGGTGCGGCGGTCGCTCGTTTCGCGAGATAGAGACGAAGCCAGCAATAATAATTAGTCTCTTAATGCGAGCAAACGATCGACCGATAAAGACCACCGTGCTCGGGAACTCTCTTTCATTTGCAACTCGTAAAATCTACGTATCGCGTTTGCGTGGGGAACCGTCGAGGATAAAAAAAAAAGAATGAAGGCTGCTCCAAGGGTTGGCTTCCTCCAGCAAAGGATGGAGGTGTCCCTTCATCTCCTATTCCTTTATGATCCAATTCAAAGTAAATGTTTTTAACAAGCAAAATATCGAAAGAAAACAGCGCTGTTAGTGCAATCAGACTCTTAACTATGCAAGTTTTATATTATAATATGGATAATTTCACAGGATACGATTGGACCTTACTCCCAGTGACTTCACGCGCGGGAGGACGAAGAAGCGCCCACGTGAAGCGCCCCATGAACGCGTTTATGGTTTGGGCTCAGGCAGCGAGGCGCAGGTTGGCCGATCAGTACCCTCAACTGCACAACGCTGAACTGTCGAAAACACTGGGAAAATTGTGGAGGTACTTTGTCATCTAACGCGATGATAATAAAAAAAGATACTTGAACAAGTATTTATAATCACCCAAAAAATAGTCTAATATGATGTTCTATAACTTAATTAAAAAATCAAATTCTGAACTATAAAAATCTCGTAAAAAATAATATTCTGAACTTTCGAACGACGCTTTTCTAAGCTATGGTAATTAGAATCTTAGGATTCAATGGTTTTCTAAGTTTTGGTGATTTGAAACCTAGAGTTCCATGCTTTAAAATATTATATTTTACCTACATCGTTATTCAAAAATATAACGTAATTCTGAAAGTCGCAATACTACAATCGTAAACTACTCGTCTAATTTTGACGCAAAGTGTCAGCTAAAAATTAACGCGCCTCGACAGAATCCTGAGCGACGGTGAGAAGCAACCGTTCATAGAGGAGGCGGAGAGGCTCAGGAACGCTCACAAGAAACAGCATCCGCACTACAAGGTAATCACCTGAAATGTTCCTCAACATTGCAATCGATCGAAGCTAATTCGACACAAATTCCAGTATCAGCCCCGTCGAAGGAAACCGAAACCGGAGGAGCAGATGGGAATCATGATGCACAGAACGACCTTACCTTCTCCAGGCACCTCTTTGGACTCCACCAGCTCCTCCGACTGCGCGTACCCACGCCTCTACACGGACCCAGGGATCAAACCGTACGACAGGCCGACCTATCACGACACCAAGACCACCTACGACCTGTCCAGATCGTCTTGGCCGAGTGACCCAACCAAGTACCCGATAGATCACGAGAGCAAACCGTACGAACCTAACGCCAAGAGCTACATGGACGCAAAGTGCTACGAGACCGTCAAGTACCACGAAGTAGCCGCGTCCAAGTATCACGAGGCTGTACCAAAGTACTCGGAACTGCAGGCGAAACCCTACGATCTACCCAAGTACCCAGAGACCCTCAAGTACCCTACGGACGTTACGAGCCCGACCAAGTCGTTCGCGTGCGTGCACAGTCAATATTACTCGGCTCCCGAGGGATACACGGTGCACGAGGAGAACGATTATCAAACGCAGGGGGTCTCGACCCACTCCTTTTATCCGTACATATCCGCGTCGGTGACACAGCCTCCATATTACATGGGGCCCCGGTAGATCTCGAATTTGTCTTGTTCGAAAGGTTTTCGGATGTTTTAAGGGTAACCACGCGGTGAAGCAACTGGTAGGGACTATAAGAGCCTATTCTATGGGGTATACGAGTGTAACGGGCGTTCGATAGTTCCTCAATGAGATTTAACGTGGCGCTCAAGACTTTAAGATTATTAGCTGTTACTAAATGCACATCTGAAAAAGAATTTAACAATAAAAATTTATATAATAATAGTGTAAGGTGTATATCAACTATTCATCAAAGATGGGAAGTGTCCTCAAATTAACGATCGAGAAATATGTTCTTTTTGGCTACAGGTTCCTAAAGTTCCAATCAGCTGATTCACCCATTCAGTGTGGTTTTCCTTCGCAAGTGTTTACGCGACTCCTTAAAGTAGGAAATTTCTTGAAACGGTAAACCGACGCCGGATAATCGTAGAATGAGCGTCGAGACTACATAGGATAGGTTCGTTAGGCCCTAGTTACTCTGCAAACGACTTCGCGTCATCTGGCAACCGTTAATGGCAATTAACCGTCAATGGTGATAATCTGACGTGACATAATTCATTCGATTATTGAAGCTAAATCCCTGGAATAAAATTCTCCACCAATTGGAAACACTGGCGTCCTCGATCGCCAGTTTGCGCGAAATCGTTTCCACCGTAACCACAACCTTAGTATTGCTTTCTATTTCTCTTCCTTTGCTATTTATTCTTTTGACATGGTTCTTTGCGATTAAATAAACAAATATCACATGCTTGAGTACTTCGATCAACGGTGTTACTAACTCGGTATAATTTACTACCTATTGCTAACTCACAGCGTTACGTGTTAACATTTCAACTACTCCCACAACCATTGCTAAACAATTTTCTAGCGAATACGATAAGAAGAATAAATCCGAGTTTCAATAGTTGCGCAACGCGTGAGACTGAAAGATCAACGATTAATGTAATCAATGTTAAAGCGCGTAGCAATCCATCGAGGAGTGTGTTAAAAAAATCAATGCGACGAGATCGTGTCGATTAGATACAACATACACACATCAATGTATAATATCATTTTCTAGATGGCGTTGTAAACGTCGCGATTCAGCACAGCTGCCAATTCCTGTATTTGGTCTCTGTTCGCGTGCATGAACGCTTTCGCGGACCAGATCATGTTGGCCAGGACCTCGTCGCTCTTCTCGTCCATTGCTATATCCTGCGGTAGCGGGGGATTGAATCTGTAATAGGGCACTCCGATCATGGAGCACCAGTTTCTGGCACGATCGACGACCCTCCCGTCGCTGGCGGTTGCTTGGTCCACCAGCAGTTCAGCGAGAACCGATATTCCCATGGCAAATTTTGCCGTGTCCCATAGGGTCTCGGGCAGGAAGATGTCTATGTCTTTCAACGGGCTGGTGGGTATCAACCCTGTGCCAAGTGAGACCACCATGGACAGAGGAACGATTTTTTCGCGACCAATAGCGTTCAGAGCTAAATTGTACTCGTGGATTTCTGTCATGGCGTCTAAGGTTGGATTGTTCGCTATCAAGCCGCCGTCGAGGAATTTCCCGAAGGCTCTGAAATACGAAGGGGCTGCTCCTGTAGCTCGTGCCGCGTGCCAGATTAATTGTTCGTTTGGCGACGAAGGAGTACCTGACGAGCCACTTTCTGGGATTTGTAGAAGAGTACTCGGTGCATCGTAGTTGCGGAAAAAGTGAAGATCGACGGGCTTCTTGTCAGCTAGGACACCCGTGATCATTATTTTTGGCTTTTTTATATCCGACATGACAGTAGTCGATCCCAGACAGTCCTTCAATACCTTCTCCAATCCCTCGCTATTGTACGGTCTCATCCCAACGAAAGCTTCCTCTTTGATGCGAAAGTAGAGCGCCTGGCATTCTCGCAGAGACTTGCCAGACGCGAGTCCTAGAGCTAGAATCCCACCGGTCGAGGTACCAGCGATCCAATCGAAACAATCTACGATAGGTTTCTTGAGGATCGACTCGATTTCCAGGAGTGTTTGCACGAGGACTAGACCTTTAATTCCGCCTCCGTCGAGACAGAGAAGTCGTCCACCTTTGATCTGTTTGTTTCCTAGCGAAGCCATCTTGTCCATGCCGGAGACGTGAAGCATTTGGTCGAGGACTGTGCGTTGAGCAGCCTGCGGAGGTTGCTGAGGAGCGATACCGATAAAGTTTTCGTTATGTTTGCAACCTAGGCTGCAATTTGTCATCTCCGGTGGACAACGCTGAGCACCCACAGCGTCTAGAATGTATAATATCTTCTGGCCTTCGGAGGTCTCCGTGTTCACACGGTGACGTGGCGTTTCTGATTTCCAATTCCTAGCGTCAATGTCCGCACCAAAGCCGATAAGAGATTGAACTATAGGCAGCGTACCTTCGGAGACCGCCAAGTGTAACGGTGTATTGCCATCTTTGTCGACGATATTCACGGAAGCCATATGACTCAAAAGGGCCACCACGCACTGTAATCGTTTCCTCATTGCCATAATATGCAATGCTGTACGTCCGTCAAAGTTCAAAGCGTCTATATCACAGTTAGTTTCGATCAAAGCATTAATCACTTCTCTGCTCAGGGACCAGTGCAGCGGTGTGCCACCGAATTTCATATCCTCTGCGTGAAGAACGTTTGGTTTACTGTGAAGAAGATCTCCGACGTAACCTGGACTAGAAGGCTGACCCTCGGAAGCAGGTATGTTGACATCTGCACCGATCAGAAGAAGCGCTTTGACGCATTCAGGTTTGTTATTTAAACACGCCACATGCATTGGCGTGTGACCATTACTGTTGCGGCTGTTCAAACTGTTCGGTAGGTCACCACCGAGGGCTAGAATTATTTCTTTGGTAGATGTGGCTGCGTAGTGATATACTGTGTTGGCGTTATGGTCTAGATGTTCCAGAGAACTCTTAGCCTCTATCAACATCTGCACCATACGTAGATTATTGGTTTGCACTGCGACCTGGAGAGGCGATACTCCTGTTTCTATGTCTCCGCTGTTCAATTGGCTGTTCACCGCGGCATAGGTGAAGGCATTGTAAAGCGCAAAATGAGCCGACAAGTGTGCTAATGTCCAAGTGGGATGATCTACCAGAGTATCACATAGCTTTTGTATTTTACTCACGTTACACATCTGTAAACAAAAATAGTGATAGTTGATAACAATGAACGTCAGATTCATGTCTTAATGCATTTGCCATCAAATAACAAAAATGATTAACTTTGCATGAAACACTTATATTATATTGCTATAAACAGTAAAAACACGGACGAGCAAAAGTAGCTACATACTTTATTTATGTTTTGAATAAGGAGTAAAAGCTGCAACAGAGTTCAAAGGATTGGATAAAATATAGTTGGCAGCAAATGCATCAAGAAACATCACTAATTACCTTTGAAGATAACGACTAGTTACCTCACGACAAATTTGAACAAGTACTGGAATCTTGTCTTTGTATATAATGAAATGTCTTTCGACTGGCGCCTTGTCTTCGGACCGATATAAACTGAAAACATTTTAATAGATATAACAACGTTTCTCGTGATAAAGTAGCAGAATGTATCGAAATGCATACCTGTAGGCCTGATGCAATGTTTCTGTACAAGGTCTGTGAAGAACAATTTCATACTTCTCATTTGGTTTTTCCCCTGGACCATAAAGTACAATGCCATCTTCGCGGCAATGGATGTGTCGATTACTATAATTTTCTGGCTTAACTTCTTGGACTACGTTCAGCCCTACATCCGGAAACACGTAATTTCGAAGAACATTGCTAGCGATCGAGCCTAACCATGCCATAACGGATAATTTTTAGGTTATCGAAGGGAAACGACGAAATAACAGCTCCGACTGGTTAATGAGGTTTAGCGACTGAACGCGTTGCATAAGTCTGTCTTACTCATTTTTTTTAATAAAAAGTTGCTATGACTCATTATTAACGATGAAAACATCAAATTGAGCGGTGCCGATATAATGACAACCTTACTTACTATTGGAAGCCAAATATAACAAAAGTATACAGAAGCAGTGTTGCTGTCAAAGTAAGCTAGAGTTCGAAAGTAGTACTAGCAACACTCTCTTACGTTATTTCGTGGAAGTTTTCCTAGTTGTTGCACAGTTGAAATAGTAGGCAGCGTTATCATAACATGGTTAGTTCACAGAATCACTATAATGGTTAACCTAAACGCGATTAATGTATCTGTAACGAGTCGTATGGACTACTATGACGTACGAATATTACCTAAATTTAAAGTTTAAAATAGATTAATGATCTAAGTATTAAAGAATTATTTATTAAACGTGTACTACTGCGTTTTATAAATAAATATATTACCTACACCTGATAGGTCACGTGAATGGTCCGTCTCTAACCCCGCGATATTTAAATTAAACAGAGACGAAATCGCGAACACGAAACAGTGTAAAAAAGGAAATTCTCGACGGATCGTTTAGAAAACTACTTACATAATCTTTTAATACATTTTTGCCGTATACAAATGTAAGCAATTATAGGTGGGAAAAGAAGATACAAATTCTTTCGGTACAGTAATTACTCTGTGTCGAAACCAATAATGATAATAAAATAATTAAACTGGGATTTTTATGTATTCACGGCGTGCATGAATATGGAAAACATGTTAAATGTATCCAGAATATATGCAAAATAAAATATTAGTGTCATATTAATTTCTGAAGTATATCTCACATACACTTTTTATATGTTTTCCGTATGGACGTATGCCATAAATGCATAAAATTCGTCGCCTAACAACAACAACAACAATAATAATAATAATAATTAGATTGCGGATGTTATGTATTCACAGCGTGCACGAATATGGAAAACATATGTTGGGTGTATGCTGTAAGTGCATAAAATTCGTAGTCTAATAATAATAATAATAATAAAATTAATAATAATAATCAGAATAATAATAATAATAATAATCATAATATACATATATTATTTTTAAGAGTTCGTTCCTCTTTTCTCGCGATTAATGCTGAACTGATAATACTTAGGAACGAGTGTTATCGTTTTTCTTTGCGTATCCTACAGTTGCGTTTCCTTCTTTTTTATTTTTGTATTCTGCTATACGAAGACAAATCGAACGCGAGGGTCGAGGTATTCTGCGCGTAAAGAAAAACCAAGGTAAGAAGTATGTATCAGGATAAATACGTGGCAGGAGGGTAGTGAGGCACACAAATACGTGTCGGCGTAGTGAAAATATGTAATAAACATATTTTATGCAATATATGAAAACTTATAGATTTACACAACACGGCATCGTCGTCACCTGGGACACCACCACCACCCCTACCATTTCCTGGAGCCAGCGTCACCGTCGCATTTCGCTGACGTCACATTTCGTCATTCTTTTCACGATTTTTCCATTCAACCACTATCGAATAATTCGACCACTGCATCGCAAACGAAATATTGTTGTTAATTTCTCAAGAGATGTGCTCTCGTGATCGCAAAAAATCTCGTTCATCGCGCAGATATTGTCGTGATCTAAAAATAAAAGTAAAATTTGAAATTAAAAAAAATAAATGAAAAGTTAAATCGACACCATTCAAAATACAAATATATAGATGAAAGTTGTCAAATGCCAACGTTTTTTTATTGAGCTGCGCTGTAAAAAATTGGTGGCTATTTTTCTTCCAAAGCGAATATCTTTCTCGACGTGGGTAAGAATAAAGACGCTCGTGTGATTTTCTTTAATCAGAGGGTGCTCGGTGGAGAGCAGGAATTGATTTAGGGGGGTGGTACAAAAATCTTTTCTTTCTCGTGCTTGATTCTGTTTCACCCTCACACACGCACACACGCATTCACGACACGCTCACGTTTTTCGTTCGTTACATCTCGTTCATTCTCGTTTTCCCGCGCTTTCTTTCACTCCACTCCCCTCTCACACTCTCTCACCGTTTCACTCGAACAAATTTTCTTGTTACGTGTTACAAATCAGTGCGCTCACCGTTATAATCGATACGATCCAAGAGTTATGTCATATATATATATATAGATATATATATATACAGAACAATCTTAAATTGCATAATCTGGGAAAAAACGCGAGTAAATTCATCTACCGCGGGTAGGATATCAATTTCCTTTTCCCTCCATCGTCCTCTTCTTAATTCTATTGATTTGCTTAATTTCTTTACAAACGAAAGACGCATTCCGCGACGAGCGGTCCTCGATCTGTCTTTACGCTTCATCTATTGCACCTACGTTTCCTGTCGTAACGTCTTTTCTATTATAACAATATATTATTAGATTATTCGAGTGGTTTTTAGGTACGCTGGGCGTATTGCTTCGAATTTTTAAGAAAAGTTTAGCATGTAATAGTCGTGCGCGAAGAGTCCGTCTTTCAAGTTGAGAAAGGTTTCGTATAGGGACAATCTTTTCAAGCACAAACAGTACGTGTGTATATATGTGTACCGTCGATGTTTGAGAAATTTGTTCCTAAACGTGTGGGACTCGTCTTGACTTCAGGAGTAAACTTTTAGCATGCGACTACTACAGTTGTAAATTTAGAAGATACGCAGAGTGTTTAATTAGGTACAGGTGGCCATTCATTTAGGCAGTACAATTCTACAGGGCAAAATATGACAGAAATCAAGAATAATGGAGGCTTTATGTATAAGATATTTCATAGTATTAGAAAATATTTTTCTCTTAACAACAAAATTTGAAGACACTGTTCTTTGAGTATACTTTTTCCTAACGGTGAGTATTTAAACGTGTTTTTCTTCATTAGTTTACCTTCATAATAAATAGCAAAGTAAAAATGTCTAATTTCGTCACTTTTAAGTTTTGTCTTATTCTGCCCTATAAAATCACTCCCTAGAAGGATGCTATCTTTACTTCAACACTCTGCACATTAAAAATTAGTTAAACTGCGCGTAATAATATATAACATATTATAATACATATATAATGAATATTTTAATATATACATACTATAATATAACAAATTATAATATATTACAACAGACTGTAATAAATTTAATATTGTATTGCATCACACTGCACGTATGCTAATTCACATTTGTACAAGGTACGACAGAGGTTTCAACGAACAATCTCGCGAGTCGTCGATCGAGGAGCACCCCTGTCGGAATTTCGTCACACAGCCTGGTCTTGACGACTTAATCTCGGTCCTGGCACGAATCTACCTCGAACAACATCCTTTCGAACGTCTCGATCATTTTTCCTCTCTCCCATCTCCCTCCCTCTCTCAATTTAGCCGCGGTAGAATTCAAAAGCGAGAGGCAGCTTCGATAAAAAAAAAAAAAAAAAAAAACAAACGGATACATATGTATATATATGCATGTATGTATGTACATATCTTCGATGACAGTTGTGTATGTTTGTGTACATGTGTGTCGTCTAGCTTTTTTTTTTTTTCATTCGTTCGTCCCGGAAGCGTTAATCGAGATATACGAAGTCATTCGTGCGAGGACTTTGCGGTCCGAGAAACGTTCGCTCTCGCTCGCTGAAAACGACGAAGGACGAAGAGTACGCGAGCAATTTTTCAGTTTGGAAACACACGTTGAAGTATGATGAAATGTGATTTTGGAGATACCTGATGATGAATCTGGCAATGTTGGTGTCGATTAGCGGGACAGGTGAACTTCGTTCAGAGTTGAGTGTTATTTGGTGAGAATTTATTAGAAGAATCTTTTATCCGAATAAATTTTCAATTAAAGAAGTTTTTCTTCGGGTAAGTCATGCGTAGAAATTTTCATTTGGTTAAATTTTCAGTCGAATCAATTCTCATTCGAATTAATTTTTAGTCGAATAAATCAATAAATTGTGAAATATTTGTCCGTAATTTGAAACAAAATGAACTCAACTCTGACTTTCTTGAATATCGACTGATGCTGGTTTTTTAAAAATTTTAAAAAGACTAACATCTTCTGCAAGTGTGGCTCATGTTTCCATCGTTTCTTCCAAGTTCTGATTCTGTCACAGCTAAAGGAAAAGTAGCAGATCTGTTAGAAATCATCTGTTTGCCATGATTAATGGATACTCATTTTTTCAACAAAAGTTCTACGTCACTCTCGTCACATCTTCGTCGATACGTCTATAGAGCTGAATTCGAGGACAGCAATGATCGTAATCTTTCAAATGTAAATATTTAATCGAAACTGAAAATTAATTCTGTGAAACCAGAAATTTACTCTGTCGATTTTTCTACTGCTACTATAATTAAATAATTGCACTATTAATTTATAGTATTAAATTTACATAATAACATCATGTAAATATTATTACAATTAAAGTGATTACTCAAAAAAAATTTGCGAGAAACTTGAATATTATCACTCGAACAATAATTCAAACGTTATTCCAGATAAATTGAATCGAAAAAGCAAGAGATACAAAAAGAAGATGCTTCGTTTGATCACTGCTGTCCTCTTTTTCTGGACCACGTCGAACATTCGTTTCAAAGAACAATGAAACCGTATCGTTTCTCCGTATACCTAAGTGCGAAAATCCACGTGTGCTGCGTGTACTACTGGTAGGTAATAATCAAAGATAATCATCTATCTGTAATTAAAAAGGTGCTTCTCGTTAGCGCTGGGCCGCTGCTCCTTTCGGTACAAATTAATTACGAGTCGTTTAATCGTTACATCGAATGTATCGGTATCATTTACAGCCTAAAATACTGAGCAAAGAATGAATAAGATCAGCGACCGATGATCCTTGATCAAGCTCTTCCACGCTTCCTTTAATCATGTTGATTTATTTTATCCTTTATCGTATTTACTCCTTCATTACTTCCAAGTTCTTCAACTGCGTGAGAATTTTGATACATCTAGATCTAGATCTTAATCAATGGTTATTTACATTACAATGCTCGTAATTCCAAAGATCTCGATCATTAGAGATTCTAATATAAAAAAAAAAAAAAAAAAAATATATATATATATATATATATATATTTTAATATCAGAATCGCTAATATTCACTTGAATGTGAATCATGTTTACTCGAAATCGATTCTAATAAAAAGAAATGTAATACC